TCTTCACTACACTGTTTCCGTAGCCAGAACATCCTTCCTCAGGGAGGAGACCAAAACTGCACACAATACTCCAATTACAGCAAGACATCCCTGCTCCTGTACACAAATCCCCTTGCCATGAAGCCTAACATACCACTTGCCTTCTTCATTGCGTGCTGCACCTGCAATTTTTATTTTCAGCGACTGGTGTACGAGGATATCGTGTCTTGCTGCATCTCCCTCTTCCCCAATCCATCACCATTCAGATAATAATGCACCTTCCTGTTTTTGCTAAAATTCCCATTAATGGTGTCACCAGAAAATATAACAGGCCAGTGTGGATAATTTAACTTGAAATTCTTGACATAAGTATGCAATCCATATACCTTTTGCAATGTATTATTATTGATTCCAGTGACTGAGCAGTGGAATAAGCTTGTACACTGTCCACTCATCTAGTTCTGTTACCTGGTATAAATGGCCCTTGGCACTCTCAGTCATGTGTATGTGTCAATGGATATGAACCCACAGCACAAAGGTGTTTCTAATTTTCCTTATCTAAACTAAAGTAGAAATCAAAGTCAGAAAGGAAATGAAGATGCTAAGTGTGGAGAACAGAAATATCACACTTGTACATCAATGTGTGCTGTTCTCAAATTGGATAATGAGAGGCTTATACTGTACCTGACCTGACTGAGTGAGAAAAGAAATAGATTTGTTTATACAATTCTCATTGGTGTTATCTATCTCTATAATGAGGACAAAAATATAAATTTAGGAATTAACAGAGGGCATTTTGGCTGTATAATACTGGAACAGAGGACATTTATCACTGTGAGATTGTGCAATATAAACAAAGTCACTGAAGTAAGAAAATAGATACCAGAGGGAACACTCTTAGTATCCGTAAGGGATTAATTAGTGCGATGTTCCAGTTTTGCTCAACAGTATCATGACTGATGAACAGTTGATCATTTCTGTGCATAAACAGCTTAGGATATGCTTATATTGGTGTCAAAGGGAGAACAAGAAACAGCAGGCTCCTCTTATGGCTCAGTTATTACAAATAATACAAGTAGTTGATGCAGACCAAGGGGAGAACTTGGATAGCAGAGGTTTAGCTGGTTAAACTGGGGCACAGGAAGCAATAACTGTGCTGAAATGGGTAGTTTTAAGACATACTCAGTATTTGACTTCAAAAATACAGAGAAATAATGTAGAGGATTACTATGTATACTTATACAGCTCACTGATGAAAATGATTTAAATTTTAGGTCACCCTGTTCCTGGAAGTGTATCTCAGATAGATGTTTAAAGGATGGGAGACATGTGAGACAATCATGAAGGCTGACCTGCAGATGGTGGGAGGTAGTCAGAAGGGGAAGCGGGAGGAGGTAGCAGGAAGGAATCTACTTGTATGATGTAAGCAGTCACCAGGAAGGCTGAGGAACCAGAAGGTATGCTCTTGCACCACTAAAACTCACATTTAAGATTCCATAGCTGTGCTCTTGTGGAATTACACAGATAGTTTGTTTATCCTGAATACAGCTGACCTGGAGTTCAGAGCAGCCTGCTTTCAGGAAATGGATTTGAAGCAGGCATGGGGCTCCTTATATATAGATGCCTATTCCAGGAATGAATTCTAGCAATCTAAAATTTTTCCCATATGATGTGCAGTGTGTGACCAGTGCAGAATCAGATTGGACAGCTAAATGTTTACTTTTCACCTGTAGAATGAACTCATCATCCTTGAGTTAACTGATTTCAGCTAAAGGGGCAGGAGAAGTATTACAACAGAAACAGTTCCACTTGATTAGAGTGGAAAAAATTGACAAGACTCAATCACCAGCAAAGGGATGGAAAGCATCGGTGACGAAGTAGCACTTTGAAAGAACATGCTGAAAAATGCTCTGATGGTTCCAGTAGGACTTCATTATTGCCTGAGTCGGAACACGGACAGAGAGCCTGATTCAAGAGGAGTTTTTGATATGATTGCTGTTAACACCATGACAGCAGTTAACCCAGTGTGGCATCAAGGAGCCCTAGTAAAATTAAAGTCAGTGACAATTCGAGGAAAATTCTTCACTGGTTGGACTATATCGAAAACAAAGTAAATGTTTGAAGTTGTCAAAGGGCAATCATCAGTTTGGACATTGCTGCAGGATTTTCTCCTGGCAGCTTCCTAGGCTAAACTATTTTCAAATGCTTCAGCATGAGTTTAGAAATGTGGATGTTTGCTGACAATTGGACAATATTTGGTTCTATTCACAACAACTTGGAGAATAAAACAATGGGGCATATGGTGGGATGTTAGCAATATTGACTTTGAGCTGATGGGTGGCCAGTAACATTCATGCTACACAAGTTCTAGGTCACAACCATCTCCAAAAAGAGTCTAACAAGTTCTCTTTCACATGCAATGATGTTATGTGTCAAATCTCATATACTGGTGCTCCTGGAGTATACTATTTATCATAAACATAACTGTACCAGTCACATAAATACTTTGGCTAGACCAGATCAGAGACTGGGTATTCTGCCAGAATTGAATCACATACCTACTGCCCCAAAGCCCACCCGCCAATTGCAAGGCACAAATCAGGGGAACGATGGATACTCTTCATGTGTCTGGACTATAAGATCATCAGAAATACTAACTGTTTAGTCTATCAAACCTGTTCCATGATTCACCAAGTTCAAGACTGACTTGTCTGTAGCTTTAACTTCACCTACCTGCCTGTCTCCCACAAATTTTAACTCCTTCATCAATCAAAAATTTAGCCTTAAATGCATTCAATAACCTAACCTCCACTGGTCTCTGTGGAAGAGTAACAAAGACTAACAACCCTCTGAGAGAAGAAATTTCTCCTCATCACCACCTTAGATTTCAGACCCCAGATTTTGAAACTCTGCCCTTTACCTCTAGACTTCCCCACAAAAGAAACAGCCTTCTGGATTCTGTCCTGTTAAGTCCCCTCATAATCTCATATGTTATCACCTCTGAATCCCAATGAGCATGGGCTAACTTCTTTGACCCTTCCTCATAAAACCAGCTCTTCAATTCAGGAATCCGCCCCAAAATTACCTCTTATGTAAGTGTATCCTTCCTTTAATAGGGAGAACAAATCTGTACATGGTACTCCAAGTGCATTTTCATCAATGTATTATGCAGCTTTGCAAGGCTTCCTGATTTTTGCACTCCATCCCCTTTACACTAAAGACTAACATTCCATCTGCCATCATAATGTTTGATGTACCTGCAAGCAAACTTTTTGTGATTCAAATGCAAAGACACACAAAGCCCTATTCTGTAGCACTCTTTAGAGTCTCTTTATTTAAATAATATTCTATTCTATTCTATTCTTCCCGCCAAAATGGGCAACCTCAAATTCTCCCAGATTACACTCCATCCACCAATCTTTTGCCAAGTCACTTAACTTTCTATATCCCTTTGCAGATTCCTTGTATTCTCTTGGCAACTTACTTTTCCACCTATCATTGTATCATCAGCAAATTTGGCTATGTTCAAGTTATTAACATATATTGTAATTAGTTGAGGCCCCAGCAATGAACTCTATGGCACTCCAATAGTTACAGTATGACAAGGACCCATCATTTCTGAAAATGACCTATTTATCCCAAATCTCTGTTTCCTGTTAGTTACCCATTCTTCTGCCCATGCTAAAATATCATGGGCAATACCATGCACTCTTACCTTGTGCAGTAAACTTTTAAGTGGCACCTTATTGAATGGCTTTTGGAAATCCAAATACAGTCTATGTACTGGTTCTCCTTTATTCAACCTGCTCGTTACAGCTTTAAAGAACTCATTCAAGTTTGTCAAATATAATTTCCCTTTCACCACAACAGTGCTGATTCTTCCTGATGATGTAATCATTTTCTAAATGTCCTGCTGCTATCTGCTTTATAATAGATGAGTTTAACTCCAACAAAACTCAAGAAGCTTGAGATCATTCAAGTCAGGTCTGGCAGCACCTCTGGAAAGAGAGAGAGAGGAGCAAGGGAGAGAGAGAGAGAGACAGTCAGACAGAATTAATGTTTCGAGTCCAATATGACCCTTCTTCAGAGCAGTTCTGATAAAGAGTCATATTGGGCTCAAAACATTAACTTTTTTTTACTGTTAATCTGCTGAGTTCCTCCAGCATTTTCCTTTTTTAAATTTCAGATTTCCAGCATCCACAGTACTTTGCTTTTGTCATTCAAGACAGAACAGCCTGCTTAATGAACAATCCGTCTGCCACCTTAAACACTCCCTCCCTTCATCACTGTTGCACAGTTGCAGCAGTGTGTTTCATCAACAAGATGAACTGCAGCTACTCACCAATGTACCTCCAACAGTACTCTGCAAACCCTTGACTACCACCACCTAGAAGGGTAAGGGCAGCAACAACACCACCACCTGCAAATTTCCCTCCAGGTCACAATCTATTCTGATGTTGAACTACATTACCATTTCTTCACTGTCATGAAATCAAAATCCTGGAAATCTCTCCCTAACAGCGGTGTGGATTTTACCACACCCAACATTTTTGAAGCAATTCATGAAGTGGATCACCACCATTTCTTGTTGGGTAATTAGGGGTTGCTATTAAATGCTGACCTTGCAACAACCCATGCACCCTGTGAATTAGCATTTTTAATACATTCTCTTACTATAACTTGTGGTATTTTTATGGTGAACATGTCAAATTGGAATGTAACCAAATTCCATCTGAATGCAATCTATAATCAATTAGGAGCACATAATAAAGAAGACTGGTTACTTGTGATAATATGGAGCAATACAAAACGCATGTAAAATATAAATAGGAAAAAGTAAATCTAATCTGATAATTGTCATGGTTAAAATCTTCACCACTGAGGGAAAATGCAAGATAATACTGCCATTCGAATGTAATTACATACTATTTCTTGATAGATTTGCATACAACAATTGTTTGTTTTGATAGAATCGTTTCTGATGAACGATATGCTTCATTATTTTATATTTTTATGTGTAGATTCAGAGAATAAGAAGATACCATCATTACTGATTTCTTACTGCTGTGTGGCAATTACATATGGGTAGGTATGGTGCAGGGTATACAGCCTAAACTTTTTTGATGATAATACTTACATCTTCATTGTTGCTGTATTTCAAATTTGAATAATTAACATCTGTTATGACTGGTATTCTTCTTTTTACAGCCCATTTCAAGGAATTTGTTTTAAAACCCAAACAATAAACAGTACATGAATGAAACACTGGACAGGGTCAGAGGCCAACATGGCTGCACACAACCACTTAGCTCTCTCAGATGGATACTGCCTTGCAGAGCCACCCCAGCTTTATGGTATGTATAAATTCGTCACTGTTTCACTGTACATCTTATAAATGGAAGATAAGAGGTCAGATAGGTTCAACAAGATATACACAATATATCTGTTTAAAGCAGTTCTCCTGAATATTTTTGGACAGAATTCCCACAAGCAAATTCTTTTGTTGTTGAGCACACACTAAGGTCATAAAGCAACAGGAGAAAACAGTGGCACTTACCATAATTAGTAATAACAAGAAAAAGGTATCCTTTGTTAATACCAATAAACAGCCTGGAGTCAGTTTCAGGTGCACTCTCCAAGACTGGTTTTCCCTCAGGCAGCCGTTTCCATCACCATCACGACTAGGACTCAGGGTAATCTAGCCTGGAGATTGCCTGTCAACCAAAAACCTGAGTAATTCCATTGAATATGGTGCTAGGAGGTGCAGAAATCTTACATCCCCATTTAACCACTCTGTCAATCAGTGTTGCACCTACCCCCTGAACTTTCACCCATTGGGTTACTCCCTAAACCCCATTCCTAGCTTAATTCCAACCCTTATAACTCCAGGCTCCCAAGCTGATTGCCACCTTCGAACCCTATAGCTCTAGGCTTCACACTTGCTTCTGACTCCTGCAGTTCCAGGACCACCAACCAGATTGCAACCTCTTTCACCCATCAAACCACATCCCTCATGCTGAGCATGACTCCTTTTTTGCATGTAGTCAGGTTTTCCACTTTGGTGGGAAGAATAAAAGAGCAGAATATTATTTAAATGGAGTGAGCCTGCAGAATATAATGGAACAGAGGAATCTGGGTTTCCTTATACATGAATCATTAAAGGTAAGCATGCAGGTAAAACGAGTCATTAGGAAAACAACTGGAATGTCGACATCTATAGTAAGAGGAATGAATTTAAAAGTAGAACGGTCTTGCTGCACTTACAGGGCATTGGTGAGACTGCACTTGGAGTACTGTGTACAATTTTGTTTTCTTTACTTAAGGAAGGATATACTTGCATTGCAAGCTGTTCATAAAAGGTTCACTAGGTTCATTTGATGGTTGAAGGGCTTGTCTTATGAGGAAAGATTGAATAGGTTGGACCTGTAGGTATTGGATTTTCAAAGAATGAGAGTTAATCTTATTGAAACCTGCAATATTCTGAGGGGCCTTAAAATGAGGCTTCCCATTTAAGATGAAGATGAGGAGGAAGGTCAAGAACTCTCTCCGCTGGGGAGTAGTGAAAGTTGATTATTGGATATATTTAAGGCTGAGTTAACTGGATTTTTTGATCCACATGAGTGTCAAAATCAATGTGTGGGAAGGCAGAAGAATGAAGGCTACAATCAGATAAGCCAGGAATGGCCAAGAAAATTCAAGGAGCCAATTGGCATGTTCCTGTCCCTATTTCTAATGTTCTTATGAAATACTTATTGATTGCTGACTGCTTTTTATTCTGTTGGAACTAGCAACAAGCTATGAAATTTAGAAGAGGCCAGTTTCACAAAATTTTGCAACATCAACCTCTATGCGTGGATGCACCTCAGGCAACTGCTTCTTAATTTTGATGGCATCATAAAATTGATGTAATATTGAATTGTTGTTACTTTCAAACATTGATAATAAATTAAGTACGTACAAATGTGCTAACACAGTGAAAGATCTTTGCACTAAGATTTCATTTTAATACTGAGTTCTTTGTTTTTAAAATGCGTTTTCATATTTCAATCAGTAAGGCCCACTTTCACATTGATTATTTTTCAAACACACTGCATTCCTGCAGTTTGTGAGAAAAGAGTAGCTTCTGACAGCAACTTGCAAAAATAGAGAGAGTTTGCAGCATCAATTATGTCCATTTTTAGACAACTTGACATTTTATCAGAAACCATTGCATTTACCAACTCCCCAACTGCTGTAAGCAAAAGCCATGCACTGCTCAGTTGATTGCAACAAACCTACATTTAAAAGGGTCCCTTCTTTGCTGAAGATTTTCTTCTGGACTGAAATTAACTTATGTGTTAAAAGGAGCCAATTTAACCAGGCATTCTTGAATTAACAAAAAAGGTGAATCTAATTACTAAATGTGAGATGAATGAGTATGCAACATGTGCACACAGATTAGAAATAAGAGGTGAGTCCAAATAGGTAAAAGTTAAGAAACTAGGTTTACGATCAGTTTCTCAGTTATTCACAAGAGTGAATAGTTGAATATTGTGATCATTGCGGTCGTGGTTACCTGTAGCATAAAATTGATGGTTGAACAGTCTTTCTTTTTGAGATTCTTGATTTTGTAGCTGATTGTAGTTCCTTTGTCCCATTTCATTTTTCTAACTGGATTACAGCACTTGAAGTGAGAGAGGGCATTTTCCTGCATCACAGGAGTAACTAGGCAATAACTCTTTGACTGTGACCTTCATAGCACATTAATACTTCAACCCAGACTGGTACAGGGAAAACACAAATTGTGTCTGCAGTCTGGGACAAAATCCATGGGGCTGGTATGCTATTGAGCAGGGAATGGTCAGACCCTCATTATCTTAGTGGTCAGAAGTGATCACAGTCCTGTCAGTTTAAATGTTCTTTGACACCTTTAGGTATTACTTCCCAGTACTCCCAATCAGAATTTTTTTTACAGTTTCATGACATTCCGCATAGAAGTCTTCTTTGTAAAATCATATTTTGGAATCAAGATTTAAAAATGCCTGTCTTATTTGGGTTTCCAACCTATTGTCATAACATTTGCCCTGCTAGACAAATGAAATGAGATTCATGTATAAAGACTTGAATATATTAAAAACAACAGACACACTCACACACAAATTGACTCTCTTAGACTCAGTCAATATTAACTTTTCAATTCCAATTGAGTCTCTTTAACTTCTGTACAGGATATCTGCAATTATGTTTATTTTCTCAGCAGTGTGTTTTCTCAGTGGTATGGTTCAAGGAACAAACTCCAGCAGAATGACTTGGTTTTCTGGCTGTTAAATGTTTCTATAAATATTAGCGGGTTGTCATCAATGTATATTATGGTCTCTCTATACCCATATTGGACATATATCTCAAAGTGTTCGAGGGCCAGTAGTAAACTAACAACTTCCTTCTCTATGGCGGAGTACCATCTCAGATGTTTGTTTAGTTTTTCTGAGAAGTACCCAATTGGACTCTCCATTCCAGATTCATCTCCTGAAGAAGAATAGCCCCTAACCCAATGGCACTCACATTGATGTCTACTTTAAATGCTTGTTCAAGCTGTTAAGCCGTAAGTACAGGTCCGCTTGATTAAATTAGTCTTCAGCTTTTCTAAAGCAGTTTGGCATTTGTCAGTCAATACTACTTTTGCTTTGTGTTAGCAGCACAGCTATACAGCTGTAGTTTGGGATAAACTTTCAGGAGCACCCATACATTCCCAACAACACTGTGCTTTCCTGTTTCGTTGTATGAATGAGGAAGTGTGCTATTATTTCTACCTTTGCTCCTCTACACAGGACTTGTCCTTGCCCCATTACAAGTCCTAGATAGGTCACTTGGGCTTTACAAACTCTCTCTTTCTGAGATTACTCATTTGGTAGCTGACTGTATTTTCTGTAAGAAGGTTTCCAGTTACCCTAAATACAGTTCCCAGGCGTCTCTGTACACTCAGAGGTCTTCGAGGCACATTACACAAGGCACAGGACACCATTACTTATGGATCACTGTGCACTCGTCATTTACAAGTCTGTGAGATGGGTCTACATTTGCTCCTCAGCACCTTCTTTTTAATACAGTAACATTTGGGGACTGCTTCAGCTTCAGCTGCAGCGTGAACAGTCTGAGCTAAGGTTTTTACAACTGGGCCAGCTTGATGGCTTGCTACAAATGCCTCCTTGGCTGTATTCAGTACTCATGAGAAAGGTTTAAGGTAACTAGACCAGTGAGTCTTCAGCTTGCCATGCCACCTTAGCCTCCACAGGCTGAGCTTCTGTGGCCATGGATCATGTAAGCACACATCAGAGAAAAGGTCACACACTTTCTTCTGCAGCTGTTCAGCTTCCTTGACCTCAGTGAGCTTCTCAGAAAATACTGAGGATGAGCTAACTAGTGTGAACTTAAAATAACCATTTTACTGCCTCAGAATCAGTGGCACTTTCCTCAGATAAGAGGCAGTAGATCTCATGCACTTTCTCCAAAAGCTTACTCTGCAATAAACAGGGCCATTGTTGGACTGGTCATTGTAGCTGTTTTGCCACTTGCTCTAAACACATAAAGAAAACTTTTATATCTGCCTCTTGAAACTTAAGAATTAAATGAGCAAACCAATTGCCTTGACTCTTAAGTCTCAGCCAGTAGTGTCTTCATTTGAAACAGTAATGTTCCTATTCCTCAGCCCAAACCAACTTGCTTCAAGTTCCTTTTTCTTCGGTTTTCATGAAACCCTGTCTCTTCACTAATTGCTCTTTCCTCTCTCCCTTTGTGTTCTCTCTCTTTCTCATTTCTTCTCCTGACAGTCTAATATCCACCATTCCAATTTCAATCTCTCCACTGTTATACCATCCCCTTCATCATCCTCAGTTTCTTCCTGTAAACTGTTAGCCGCTGCTTTTAAAATTTTGGGTTTTCTGGCTGTTTGGTGAAATTCTAATCTTAAGTGTCTTGATAAATTTTGTAACTGTCTGAGGGATGGAGCAGTTAAATCCTCAGAAGTAATCCCTTAATTGTGCTAGAAATGCACTTGCATCAAATGCAGGTATTTCAGTGCAATAGCAATGCAAATACAAAAATGCCTTTTACAGTTTTTCATCTTTAAAATTGGTTACAAAGTGACAATTTACCTAGTCGAGTTTTTACACTTCATCTGTGGGTTCAAATCATGGCAGGAGTCCCCAGTTTGTTACAAGCAATCTCTGGGCGAGGTCCCCAATTAGTTAGCGTTCCATTCAGGATACCCTGAATGTTAGGCTGTCTGGTGAGGAGGATTAAACTGGCTCCCGTCCTTTATTCACCCACCATCCTTTGTTAGTTGCAATAACATTAACTTAAAAGGGATATTATAAAG